GGGGGGGGGGGGGAGTGGAAGGGGGGAAAGAAACACGTACATCTTCAACATTCCTTCCCGTTATTTCAGACGGCAGCTTCGGTGTAGCTGCTGCTGCCAAGCTTCCTGACGAAGAAGGCACTATAGCTCCAGACGTTCCCGGTGCTCTGCTAATACTCGAAAGAAAGAATGTGGCACATTCAGACATGGAGGTTAATTAATAATCAGAACGCCCTTCCAGGCTTCAAAGGCCCAATTCTAGAGACAAGCGCTGTAATACTTGAAAAGAATAAGCGAGCACAGACATGGTCACCATTGATCAGGACGAGCTGCAAGGATTTCAAGGCGCAATTCTAGAGTCTAGCATTGGCAAAATAGACTCCATCTCCCATCAGCTTTATCTTGCTTGCACACAACAGTCTGTGTGTGTTGATGATGGACCTCTAAATTCAACTGATTAGTTGATTAGTTGATGATTAATTGATTTCTTTTCTGGTTGATTAGTTTATTAGAGTTCCCCACAGAATCAATCAATCAATCAGGCAATCAATCAAACAATCACGCAATCAAGCAATCAAGCAACCAAGCAAGCAACCAAGCAACCAATCAAGCAACCAATCAAGCAACCAATCAAGCAATCTACCAAACTTCCCGCCCATTATCTCTACCCGCCACAGGATACGGCCCTCAATTGATTAGCCGAATAGCCAGATAAAGTTCCTCTGGCTGTACCGGAGGTTTGCCAGCGTGGGAGAGAGAGATCCAGCGGATGTCTTACCATAGCGTGGTGTTTTGCACAGAACCTCCTGGAAAACCAGAGTCCCAGTCGAGGGTAGCTTTATATCAGCACGCTCTGGGGTACTTGTGTGGCTTAAAACTGAAGCAGAAATTTATCCAAATGCGGCCGGGGCGGAGGTGGGGGAGGAGGGAGGGGGAAACAAAAAGAAAGGAGGGACCAAGAAAGCCCAAAGTAGGGAGGCAGCAACAGTAACAGAAAGACATGTCTTTCCCGAGTTATCGTTACATTTACAACAAACATGCAAAGAGAGAGAGAGAAGGGGGATGGAAAGGAGGGAACGCAGGGAAGAGAGCAGAGAGAGGGAAGAGCGAGGAAGAGAGAGGAAGAGAGAGGAAGAGAGAGGAAGAGAGGGACGAGAGGAAAGAGAGAGATGGGAAACTAGCAGGAAGAGAGCGTGAGAGAGGAAAAACTGAAATTGGTCTTCACTGTCATCTAGGCCTGACAGAAAGTCACGGCGCTTCAACGATTGATTGGCAGGCATATTCTCCCTCTCTGTTTTCCTGGTGCCAAGACTGAAAACAAAATAACACACAGAGAATGGCAGGCATATGTAGACGGAAAACAGAGTACCCAGGAAGAAAAAGAAGTAAAAAGACACACTGCAACAGAAAAAGAGAGAGAGACAGAGACGAAGACAGAGACACAGAGAGAGAGAGAGAGCGAGAAGGAGAGAGAGGGAGAATGTTTGCGAAAAAGAGAGAGACAGAGAGACAGAGAGACAGAGAGACAGAGAGGGAGAATGTTTGAGTGAGATACGTACCCCGCTGCAGTTGAAGAAGGCACTAATGCAGAAGAGGTGCTAACCGCTGGCCCCAAGGAGGTTGCTGCTGATGTGGCAGCTCCAAGATTAAGCTGCCTTGATGCTGCGGCTGTCGACGTGGCGGCTGCTGCAGTTGTGCCAGCTGTCAACGATGACATGCCACCCCCGAAGGCAAGTGAGAACGAAGGAGTTGATGAAGGAGTCGCCGCCGCTGCAGAAGATGCTGTAGCAGCAGCTGCAGTCTGTGCAACCGGTGCCGCCGCTGCACCGAAACCTGGTGTACCACCACCACTAGGAGCAGCAGCTGCACTCCCTGCAGCTGAAGAGGGAGCTGCCAGCGAAAAGGACGGCAACGCTGAGGTGGATTTCGATGATGGAGGTGCCGCAGAGGCCGAGGCTGCTGCCGGAGCTGCTGCAGAAGAGGTAGGCAGTCCTGCGCCGCCGAACAACGACGACGCGGCAGATGACGTGTTTGACAGAGAGAAGCTCGGGAATGCAGACCCAAAGGAGAAAGAAGATGAGCTTGCCCCTGACGTGCCCGCGCCCGTGCCCGTGCCTGCAGCACCGGGTGCACTTGTGCCGAAGCTGAAAGCTGACGTTTGACCGGATGATAGGGCAGAAGACGACGGCGCAGCAGCTTGAGTAACAGGCTTAGCTGCAGCAGCCGAGCCAAATAATGAGCTCGCAGCTATGGAGGGCGCCGATGGGGTCGATGAAGAGGAAGGCAATAGCGGTGGTGCAGGCGCAGTAGTTGGTGCTGCCTGGCCTGCCAAGGCTGTCGATCCAGTGCCCGCGCCAGCTGCCGGAGCTGAACCGAAGCTGAATGTCGACTGCGCACCGAAGAGAGAAGTGGCGGCGGGCTGAGAACCAGAAGAGACAGATAACCCGCCAAACGCCCCCGTTGTCGGCGGCTTCGCGCCGCCGCCGCCACCGAACAATGTGTTGGCGCCAAAACCCCCACCACCGCCACTGGCTGTCGAGGCGGCAGTACCTCCAGCACTCCCCGCGCCGAAGAACAAGGACGTCGCAGGCGCAGGCGCCGACCCCCCCCCCCCCCCCGCCGCCGCCGCCGGCGCAGATGATGCACCGAACAGCAGAGTGCTGGACGGCGCCATCCCTGTCCCAGCCGGGGGGGCCGCAGCAGCAGCAGTGGCGCCGAAGCTAGCCGGCGAAGCCGCCGCCGAACCGAAGCCCGAGGCAGAGGAGGATGTCGAGAACGGGGAGGTGAAGGCGCCACCTCCACCGCCACCAAAGGCAGGAGCAGCGGCACTGCTGCTTCCAAAGCTCAGCGAGCTGGCGGCGCTATTGCTGCCGCCCCCGCCAAACAGCGATGGCGCAGATCCCGATCCGAAAAACGATGATGATCCCGCCGTCGACCCAAAGACAGCCGGCGCGCTTTGGCCCCCCGCTGCGCCGCCAAAGGGAGAGGCAGCGCCGGAGGCAAAGGAGAAGGCAGCCGCGCCGCTACCGCTGGCAGCAGCGCTTCCCGCGGCTGGGGCGGCGCCAAACCCCATGGTAGAGAAGCTGGACGGCGCAGATGCAGCGGAAGCGGAAGCAGATCCCGTGCTGAACGCGAAACCAGTGAAGCCCGACATGACTCTCTGGGAGGAGGAAGAGATCTTCTTCAACTAGAGAGCCCCCCTCCTCTCTCCGCTGCAGTCCGCCGGTTTCCGAGATGTCCAATTATCGGCCGATCGATTCTCACTCTACAGTCGACAGCAGAGGAGAGAAGCAGGAACGAGTGCGAGAGAGGGAGAAGGTGAGGGAGGCTTTACAGCTGCTTACCCACCTCGGCTCTCCTAAGGACGAGGGCTACGACAGCCTCTATCGATCTGATCAGGCATGTCCTATAGCCACCAGCAGCACGGCTCCATCACCAGGGAGGGGTGCCAACAGGAGAGACCTCACGATGGGGGGAAAAACCCGCACCCCCCCCCCTCCACTTTCCCCCGTCAAAACTTTGCCCTTTAACTTTTACCCAGCACAAGAGTCAACCAAGCCTGACAGATAATATACGAATCATACTTCCTCTGTGGAGGGCAGCAGCGCACTCCGCTAGAACGCCATCAGCTCTAAAATCCTGAGAGGGAGGGGCCGTTTTTTTTTTTCCTCCAGACCATCGATCACCGCGCGGACCGCTCCGAGTTGTGCATACAGCACAGCAGAGACACCACAACCCCTCCGCCACTCTGTCGATCTACATGCTCCCGTAATCGGAACCCCCCTCCCTCTGGCTCTCGTAAAACTCTCGCCCCCCCTCCGGCGCGCTGTGGCCCAACAA